ACAAAAAATACACAAATATTATATATATATACAATTTTTTTGGTGTAAAAATCTATAAATAAATGTACAAATATTTGATGTGTGTGTACTACTAGAAAATCATTTAAAAATATAAGTCATACCCAAAGTAATGGTGTGTGGAAAATAGGAGAAATCATAAAGAAAAATATAAAATAAAAATTGTGAGCTAAATATATAACAAAAAATATGATTTTTTTCCTTATATTTATTTATTTATATATTTTCTCATATTTACAATGATTTGTTAAACATTACACACTATCCTTACTACTACTACTACTACTACTACTACTACTACACCATAACAGCATAGTATTCAAAAATATTTATATAATAATAATAATTTTTAAAAATTATTGCTATTCTCTCTCTCTCTCACTCACTCACTCACACATACACTAGTATTACATGTTTAATATTATAAGAAAACACCAAATATTTATAATTAAAAAAATATTGATAAAGTATTTATAAAAATTAATATCATCAAACATATTATTATTATTATTATTATTATTATTATTATTATTATAAACAATATTAATAATAATATTAATAATACTAGTATATAGTATATACTGTATATATAATGTATATGTTTGGATGTGATTATCATTAAATATCAGCTAAACTTTTTTATTATCTATATATTGATATTATTATTATTATTAAATAATTTCATAATATTTTGATATATACTGTTTTTTTGGTGTTATTTGGACATTAAAAAAAATATTCATATATTCTATTACATAATACTCTATTTATTTTATATTTTTTTAGGTTACTGTCCACTATTGATATATAAATAAATATATATATATTTATTTTATTACATATAAAGCTTTAGGCTTTTTTTGAATGACTTTTGGGATATATATATAAAGTGAATCAACACAACAACCCTAACCTATTGATGTCTATTGGCATTAGACGGACCACTGTTTATATATATATAGTGATATAAATCAATATTTTTGGGCATCAAAAATAAAAATATATCTGATATATATATATATAATATAAATACAGTGAGATAGATATATCAATATATATATATAATATAATACATAATATAGATTTATAATGATAGTCGCCAACAAACATATACTATAATAATACTATATATCATTCATATACTGGTTTAGTAGCGGTAAATATGATGATAATAATCACATCTAAACTTATCATCATATATTTTATATAAATATATATACAGTATTGGGACCCTATTTCTCAAACGTTGTTTATTGGAGTTAAATCAATACAAATTTTGTTAATTGTAAATAAACAACAATTATTTTTTAAGTGCTATCAACTTTATAAGGTATGTTATCATCAAGAGAAGCCAATCGCATCCGAATCCGGACTCTGGCCAAAGCGGGAATGACGCCAGCGGACATCGCAAAAGTGGTTGGCGTCGACTATAATACGGCGGCTAAGTGGTCAAAAATGGACAATTTCAAACACCAATTCAAGACAAAAATGGTCACAAAATTGACGCCAAACACTAAACGAAGTATAAGTGGTCAAATAAAAGATAGAATTGGCGCTTCGGTAAATAAAGCGGTAAAAAAGCTAAATATGAGCGATTCCTATATTGAACGCAACAAAACAATATCGCCGAAGACTGTCCGGAAGTACTTGAAGACCAAAGATTGGGGAAAACTTGCGAGAAGAGTCAATACTAAACCACTATTGAGCGCTAAAAATGTTGATGACCGTAAAAAATTTGCTCAAATGGTCAAAAATAACGGTTATTGTGAGCAAACAGCGCGCGGGAAAGCACTTCGGGAGAACACACTTTGGTCAGACGAGTCATCAATTGAATTACATCCGAAGCCAAATCCACAAACTACAAGAGTTCGGACAATGGATAAAAAACTTCAAGTCATTGGCCGACCAAAGTTTCCGCTGAAAATTATGGTCGCGGGAGGCATAACATCAAATGGTGTTACCGAATTGTATATTTGTGACAAAAAGGAGACTATTAATGGCCAAGTCTATGAAAATAAGATATTACCTATTTATCTGAATGCTATAAGCAATAATCAATTGATTAAAAATAAAAGAAAGGCCACTTTTCTACAAGATTCGGCTCCTGGTCACTGCATTTCATCGGTAATTGGAAAAATTGAGTCAACATTTCCAAACTCTTGGACCAAGTCAGTATGGCCTGGAAATTCTCCCGATTTAAATGTTATCGAACCGGTTTGGGCCATTCTAAAGGATTCGGTATTAAAAAACCCGAAACCGAAGACCCGTGACCAACTAATTGCCAGAGTTCGGGAAACTTGGTATTCACTCTCACAAGAGTACCTCACCAATTTGGTCGAATCGTTTCCCGCTCGGGTCGAAGAAGTTATTAAAAATAATGGCGGGAATACTAAATATTAAATATTTGAATTTTAACTTAATTTATGATAATTAAATTATTAATTTTGTCATTATTTACAATTAAATTTAAATAAACATTTTTATCTGAGAAATTGGGTCCCAATACTGTATATATGTATTGTATGTTATAAACAATATATAAATATATCTATTTATATATATATATATATATATATATATATATATATATATATATATATATATCTATCTATTAAAGAGCCCATAAACTTAAATATCTTATATACCTGTAGTGTATATATATATATAGTGTATATATATATAGTGTATATATCAAGTAGTATATCGACAATAAGTTATAATAACAGTAATAATAATAATACCAACAAAATATAGTTTATGAAAAATATTGTCACTTTCTCTTTATATTTATATTTATTTTTTTTGTCATTAAATTTTGAATAAAAACATTAAATTTTATGTGTTGTTATGAAATATTTATAGATTTTTTAAAAATTATTATTATTATTATTGATCTAATTATTAGGTTTTTGTTTTATGTTTGTCAACAAAAATCTGTATTAATTAATAATATTAGTAATAATACTAATAATATATATATATATATATACTGTATGTATAGTGTTATTTAGTAATTGGACAGTTGGCGGCTATTTTTATATTACTATATATTGAAATATACAGTAAATATATATATAAATATCAAACAATACCGCTTTTTTGTTGTTGTTGAGCACCTGGAGCTTAACGGAAAACACAGTTAGACAGTAATAATAATAATAATAAGACTAAATTAAATATATATTTTATTTTTGTTATAATTATAATTATTTGTTGTCATTAAAAACACTAATACATTGATTTACTTTAATAAATAATATCATAAAAATAATTTTTATTAATGTTGTTGTTGTTTTGTTATGTGCTAATTAAAAGTGCATTTAAAAAAARKRCTGATATAATTGTATGATAATAATAATAATAATAATAATATTTTATAAATAAAATTAAAGTTTTAATAATAATATTAATAGCAATTGTTTTTTTCCGAGAATTAATAAAAATCAAATTTTTTTCCATAAATAAATATTTATCTAATTTATAAAAAATTAAAAAAAAATAAAAATGACAACTACAACAAAATTTTTATTGAAAATAAAAGTTTAATATATCAACAATAACAAATATAAAAAAAACATTATTTACTACAGTATTATCAGTTTTATTAGTATTATATCATATAATTTATATATATATATATATTATTGYTAAACTCATAACAGAGTATACATARCATATAAAACTATAATAATAATAATATTATTATYATTATTACTATTATCAACATCGTTATATATATTTATGAAAAWATATATATATATTTTTAACTATAGGCATAAATTTTTTAAAATAAAATATAAATCTAGATATATATATACTGTCTAACTAAAAAAAAATCAATGAAAACCTGAACTATACTCAATATATATATATACAAATACATACAGTTTTATTGTAAATATATTATATAAATAAAAATTTTAATAATGCAATTTTAATGGACTTGTCGCATAGAAAAAAAAATAATAATAACCAAAAAAAACATAAAAATAATAATAAAAAGATTAAAATATGAATTTATTATAAACATCATATTGAATACTAATATTTATAATAATAATAATAATAATAATAATAATAATAATAATACAGTATATGTTTTTTCAATAACTTTATAATATATTATATAAATTATTTTATAAACATGCGATGAAATTTTGTTTTATATATATATATCCCGTGAATACAATAATAATGTAATAATAATAATAATAATAATAATAATAAAATGACTATAAATTACTGATAAGACATTTATCATCAATAAAATAAAAAAAATAGTGAAGAAATTTATTTAATAATATTTTTGTTGTTGTGTTTTTTGTTGTTGTATTTAATATTTTTTTAGTTTTAAACATAAATCTTATAATAAATATAATGTGCTGTCAATGAAAACAATAGTATAAATGTTTATATATGTATTATGAATATATAATTTATACAAAATGTTTTAACCGTATTAATAATAAACAGTATATTTATATATATATATATAGAAAACAATTAATTTATTATCTATTTACTACTAAAAAAATTTTAATAACGAATATATTTACTGAAAAAAATAWTATTATTAAATTAATTAATAACAACATTACATAATAATAATAATAATGTACAACAATAATTAATAGTTTACTAAAAAAATATTATTATAATAATAAATTTAAAAAATAGACAAAACATGTAAATATATAATTTATCATTATCATAAAGATTAAAAAAAATTAATCAAATCTATTAATTAAACCATTTATGGTATTAACAAWATATATATATTAATAATAAATTTTAATAATAATACTAATAATTTTTACAAATGGAAATTACTGCTAATACTACTACTACTACTACTAMTAATAATAATAATAATATTAATAATCATAAAAATACTAAACGCATAAAATTTTTACTAATGTTAATCAACATAATTAAATTGAATCACTTTATTTTAATTACATTTTTAATAAGTTACACACTATTGGCCTATTGTATAAACAGGGTGTCTGCTAATGGCAATCAAAAGTAAGTAAAAATGTTTTAATGTTATTATTTTATAATATTATATATATRTATATATATATATATATATATATATATATATATATATATATATATATATATATATATATATATATATATATATATTTATAATGAAATTAATATTAATGATATTGTTATGTTTTTATTATTATTATTATTATAAACTATTTAAAATATGATTATTTAAAATGTGTTTTTTTGCAAATATATGATACATTTTAATTGCTAAATAAATTTTGATGATTTATTTAATTTAATTTATTAATAAATTATGTATATATATATATGTAATTATATTTGTTGTTGTAAATAATAAACTATTAATAAATAATTAGTTATAATATTATATATATAGTATTAAAAACATTAAACGATGACATTAAATGTAATAGTAYTAAATAAACTATATAATTATTATAATAAACTAAAATAATATTTKACATAAATATATATTTTTTAAAAATATTTAATTAAATATATAAAATTTAGCTAATACTTATTGTTATGTATAATTTTTACTGCCAAAAAAAATAATAATAAAAAGTTTTATTTTTATATTAAAATATTTTTATTATTTGGTTATATTTTTATATTAAAAAAATATTTAGACAATAAAACTCTTTTCATATATATATATATATATACATATATATATATATATATTATAATATTACAAGTATATACTGTACTAATAATTTGCATATAATTAAACTTTTAGTTTTATACGTGAATTGTTAAAATACAAATTATTTACATTAAAAATAAATTTTAATCTGTTTAAAACATAAACAACAAATAGATGAGACAACAAAAGTTTAATAAACAAATATACAGTAAATAACTAATAAAAAGCAAACAAATAAACATAACATAACAAAACATTTTAATCAATAATGAGAATAAAAAATATTATGATATTATAATTATCTATTGTATTAATGATAATTAAATTAAATAGTTTGTATATAATATATGCATATACAGTGTATATATATAGAGTAAATTAAATTTAATTAAAAGTTGCACAAAAACGAAATTAATTAATTACATAAAATTTTTAACTAATAAATTTTCAAAATAACTTTTTGATTATTAGCTAATACTATAAACTAAATTTATATATTGAATATATATATATATATATATATATACTGTATATTATTTATTTAATTAATTAGTAACTGAAAATTTTTAACTTAATTAAATCACTTATGTATCAGTTATTTGCCGATAAACAAATTAAAACAATGAGTTTAATTATATTATTATTTATTTTTATTATAGTTGTATTATTAAAAAAAATCTTTAAAATTATATATAAATAAATAATTATATAAACTTTAAATTTTTATTTATTTTTTATATAAAACTACAAAAATTATAATAATAAGATTAATTAATATTAATTAATTTTTTAATAGATTATAATTATTAATTAATTTAATATTAGAGTATTATTTTTATTATTATAAAATTTAAAACACAAACACACAAATAWAKTAYAATTATTTGTTATTTTTTGTTGTTGTCGACTATTTATATAACAATACTATAGATTTGTTTGTATAATAATATTATTGGTTTGTTGTTATTGATTAATACAACTTTAATTTTATGTTAATTGAGATCATTCAGAGAGAGAGAGAGAGAGAGAGAGAGAGAGAGAGAGAGAGAGAGAGAGAGAGAGAGARAGACCTATCGTTTTAATTGAATGTCATTTGTAATTGAATTGAGAAAAATTGTTTGAATCAACTGATTCTCTCTCTCTCTCTCTCTCTCTCTCTCTCTCTCTCTCTCTCTCTCTCTCTCTCTCTCTCTCTCTCTCTCTCTCTCTCTCTCTCTCCCTCTCTCTCTCTCTTATCATGTGATAAATGGATGCAATTTTGTTTGAGAAAATCTGTATTATATTGACTGTTYAATAATAACTACCAATTCTCTATGTAATATATATATATATATATATATTAAACACATACACACAAACATACTGTATATATATACTATATATATTATACAGAATATATAAATTTATACAATTTATACCCGTATATAGAGGTATAAACTGTATACAGTGTTATCTTTACWGAATCTGTATATGTTGTTTAAATGTCACAATTTGTGTGTATGTATGTATATATGTGTGTGTGTGTGTGTGTATGTRTGTGTGTGTATGTGTGTTGTGTGTGTGTTGTGTGTGTAACTATGTGTTTGAGTTATAGCCTATTTTATWTWTATATATATATTGTAYAGTATATTGTGTACAGTTTATATCATTGACACTACGATCGGATAATAATTTGCATCCAATAATATAGTTCACACATACATACAAATACACACTCACTCACTCACATAAACACATACATACTTTTACWTATATTATATACTGTATATATATAAAAACCCTTAAGGAATGCCTATTGCAATGCACTAGTAGTAGTCGTATAGTATTGATAGTAGTAGTAGTAGTAGTAGTAATAGTGAATATTTCACTCATCAATACCTCAATAATAGTGTTAGCAAATAACTGGTTACTAAGCTATCATTTTTGTGCAAATGTCAAGCAATCGTTTTACTATAAAATTGATGATATGGTGTGTGTGTGTTAAATGTAATATTGTATTTTGAATACATACCAGTGCCAAATGCATACTAGTGTGTTCACATGAGTAAAATTTATATATATATATATATATATATATATATATATATTATAGTATTTTTCCTAATAGAAATTTTTTCACTTTTAGTATATAATGTAAAAGCAAGTTTATATATATACTATATACAGTAGTATTACTATATATAGTATTCAATATATTAAAAAAAATATATTAAAATAAATAGAAAATTTTTAATATACAGTATACCCTATATATATATATATATATATATATATATATATATATAAATTTACAGTATATGTTATTTACTAGTTTGTGATATTTAGTGGGAGAAATAAAATATGTGAATATAATTTTATTTTTAGTGTATTTACATGATAAATAGTAATACATTAGTATATACAGTATATATATATATATATATATATTTAATTTTTTAAAAATATAGCAAACTAAATTTAATTTTTAAAAATCTATCTAAGCAAATGTATATATATATATATATATATATACTGTATACTACTAAATTAGTATAAAATTGATTTGATAGAAAAAAWTAAAWAWATATATATATAAATTGTTGTTGTTGAAATTATTTTTATATGTTAAAAAATATTTATTTTTATTTTATATAGAAAATTGCTAACAATTCCCAATGCAATATAAAAATATATATACAGTATATATAATGTATCCATTGACAACTAATAATATTTATTCATTAGACACTAGCACAGGTAGATATTACTGTGTGTGTGTGTGTGTGTGTGTTTGCAAGTAATTTAGCACTGATTTGTGTGTGTGTGTGTRTRTRTGTATGTTTTTGGGTTTAACATTAAACTACTGGTGCTTACTTTTTTATTGTTTAATTATTAAAAAAGCTATCGACTCTCTCTCTCTCTCTCTCTCTCAGATTATATATACAATATATTCTGTATATATATATCTATGTATATATAAATCCTAATTGCTTAATGGCTACTCACAAAATAGTACTAAAATATAATACATAATACAGTATATACTGTATATAATGGCTTACATAACATTTAGGGATTTATTATATAACAATATAATGTGTTTGTGTGTATCTATCTAACTATCTATCTATTTCATTGTAAGTGTGTGTATCTTAAAAATAAATAATATATATATATTGATATAACTAAATATAACACTAGTATATAACATTACCACTAAGATAAACAATATATAATTTATATAAATAATGTGTATACAATAAAATATATATATATACTGTATATATTGTATAATAGTAAATAAAATTAGAGGACATTAATACATACTGTATATAAAAAAAAAGTTATACAACATTTTTATGACAGTGGTATCTAAATATTATACATACTGTTTATGCATATTAAACAAAAAATTTTTGTATATAACTTTTATATTAATAATAAATAAATAAATAGTAAAATTATAATTTAGTATATATATATATTGATATATACTGTATATATATAAAAGCTTAAGTATTATTACTAAAATAATATGTAAATAATATCCATTAGTTATTAACTATTTTTTTTTTTTAGTTTATCTTAAAATAATTAGTATGCATTAATTATTTTATATGTCAAGTAATTATTACAACTTATATATGTAGGAGATATACTGTATATTTATGTAATTATTAAATTATAATAGTTTTCTTTAAAAAAAACAGATACAGACATTTGCTAATAGTTATCAGTAAAATCAAAATACAGTAATTTATATATTTTTTAGTATTTTTTTGTTGCATACAAATATAAAATACAAAATTAATATAAAAAATGTTGCAACAATATATATAATAGCTATTTTTTTATATATCATATTGATTATACATTGCAAACTTGAAGATATACAGTAATATTATATAAATAAAATATTTTTTTAAATAGCAATGTCATTAAGATATACAATATATATATATATATATATATGATATTTAATATATATAATACTCTATATGTATCATACAATATGAATATTTAACATAAAGGAATTTAAAGGCAAAATATTTCGTGTATTAACAACATTTTATTCCCATATATTTATTATATATATATATATATATATATATATATATTTTGCTAATATTATAGTTTAAGTTCAAAAAAAGTAATAAATCCTCTAAAGTCAAGAATATTCTGTAATTTATTTTTTATTTATATATAAATATTATATTTATCTTTATGTATATAAATTTTTWTATATATATATTTTTTATTTATCAAACTGTACGCATAACTGTTATACAAAACAAACAAACAAACAAAAAACTAATACTAAACATATTGCATACAATATATATATATATAATTTTATGTCTATATATATGATATATAT